CTAATCTACCGCAGTGAGGCAGTGGACTTATCAGACGTGCACCGAGTTCGGCTACTTCCAGACCTTCTCCGGCAAAAACGTCCCCTTCCCCGCGCCGTACAACGCCGTGGACTTCTCTTATCAGCTGTGCAAAGATCTATTCGGAGACGCGTACGTACCGACACTGCGCGTTGATCAAGAGTTGGAGGTGCAGAGATGAGGTAAAGATAACTCCGATGCTCCGCTCTGCGCAGCTACGACGAGAGCGTCGTGACCGCGGCCATCGACCGCAGCAACCTGGTGTTCGGCGACAGGAAGCCGGACGTCACCAACGTCATCTTCGTCAACGGCAACATCGACCCCTGGCACGCCCTGGGCATCCTGAGCGACGTCAGCTCCCTCGCCCCAGCCGTCTTGGTGGACGGTAAGTGTTACAGGAGGCCCACTGGCAGTGGCAGTACTTCTGTAGTAATTATTATCAATTTATTAATGAAAATGGGGGTTCGTTTCCCATTCCAGGCGGCTCTCATTGCGCGGACATGAACGCCCCCAACGCGATGTACGACACTGTCGACATCACAAGCGCGCACGACAAGATCCACGCCTTCATCAGGAGTGCACTGTACGAGGACCCCAATGGCGACCCGGCCGACTTTTAAAAACACGAACTGTACATGAACCTTAATAAAAACACATAGAAAATATGTACTCATGGCTATTGTTATTCTCCCCTCAAGGAAGAGATAAATTCGAATTATAGTCCCCCGTCTCTGATAAGGGTTATCACTCGCCTAGACCGACAACCCACCCCCCGCCACCCCCCACCCTTTCCTCATCGAGCTAGGCGTCAGTCAAAAACACTTGAAGACCCCGCACGCGAACCGCACACCGCGCTCGCATTCCTCTGCACGATGATTCGGCACTTGTTGTCTCATTTCGAGCCCTCCTCCAATCAGCGTGCAGGGCAGTTATGGCGACGCTGAATGGTTGAGGGGCGAAATCGGCGTTCTAGGTGCCTGGTCACGTGGCCGCGGGGACGGCGCGCTGCTCCTCCTCCGTGGGGGGCGGGCACGGGGACGGGCCCCGGAGCTGGACGCTGCTGCTGCGCCGCCCCCGGGCCGACTGCGACCCACGCCCACGCCCGGGCGGTGCGATGGGCCCCCGGCGCTGCCAGAACACCTGCCGCCCCTTGAGGTACCTGACGGCCTCCTCGGCGAGCCCGGAGACGGGCAGCCCCTGCAGCTCTGTGAGAGAGCAGAAGCAGCCCGTTATCAGTGCGATTACAGCAGCTCGGGGCTCTCCCGGTTGGGAACCAAAACACCCAAAACAGACGTCAATTCAATACAACTTTCCGCATATACGTCAATCCGACTTCCATGCTCGATGTCAGATACCGGCGACCAAGGTTATGACTTACTGGGGTCTCGGGCGATCTGCTGCAGAAACGTGGCGTCTCGCCCGAGGGAGGGTGGCACCCTGTCCAGGCCGGGGCGAAACGCCCGGTCGCCCTCCACGTCGGCGTCCTGGGGCCGGGGCGGCAGCCCCTCCCTGCGCGCCGCGCTGCTGCCAGAGCTGCTGCTGTGCGTGCGCGGCGACGCGCCCTGGAGCCGGCACCGCGGCCGGGCGTCAAAGCAGTCGAAAGGGCGGGCCGACGGGGAGCAGGCGACCGGCGGGGGTGGGCTGGGGGGGATCTCCATGAGCCTCTCGCGCAGGTGCTTGTTGCGGCCGTCGTGAGCGTTCGTCACGCTCAGGATGAGCGCGATCTGGCGCGCCTCCTCCTCGACCCCGGTCGTCGGCGCCACCCCCGTCACGGCGGCGCACCCGAGGCCGGCGCGCCGCAGGTCGCTGTACTGATGCGCCGTGTTGCAGCTCTCGCAGAGCCCCGGCAGCACCTGCGACTGAGCACACACGCTCATGCACCCGCACAGCCCGCGGCCAACCTCACCCCAGGACGCCGACGCACCGCAGAGTCCGGGTAGTGCTCCGCTGCCCATTGGTCCTCCCAGGGCGAGCCGCCGTCGTCGGCTGGGTCCCCTGCCGTCGTGGTCCGCAAGGCCCCGAGCGCGCCCATCTCAGCGGCCCGGCGCGCCGACCCCACGCTGCTCTCCTCGTCCGGCCAGACGCCCTGCTGCATCAACCTCTCGCAAGACGACAGCGCGAAGTCCATGGGCAAGCCTGCGGAAAGACAAGATCGACGAGGCCCAAGTCTGAATTCTATCCGTCCCCCACTTTTCGTTCCTCTACCTCCCGGACGCTTACAGCCGATGATGTTCATGATGGCCTCCCGGCAGCGATGGATGCCCTCGCGGAAGGCCGGGTTGTCCGGGCGGAGTCGGCTGCCGCGGTGGAACATGACCAGGGCCTTCTCGAAGTGGCCCATCGCGTAGAGCGCGCGCGCCTTGTGGAGGAAGGCGGCGTTGCTCGTCTTGTCCAGGTCCAGGGCGTCCTCGGCGTCGAGCAGCGCGAGGCGCGGCTGTCCGAGCTGCTGGTAGCACTGGCTGCGCTCGAGCAGCGCCGCCTTGTGCGCCGGGTCCAGCAGCAGGGCCTGCTCGGCGAGCTGCAGCGCGGCGCGCGCCTGGCCCCCGCGCCGGTGCGCCCTGGCGAGCGCGGTGAGCCCGGAGGGATGCGCGCACGCCGGCAGGCTCAGGCCCCGGGCGGCGGCCAGCGCGCGCCGCTGCTGCTTCAGGCTCAGCTTGATGTCCTTCTCGCCCATGACGACGGCCGCGTTGCGCGTCTTGTCCGTGTACTGCTCGACGCCGCCCTCGCCGTAGCTCAGCAGCATGAGCCTCCGCCGGTGGCGCCGCTGCCGCAGGATGTTCCGCATGTCCTCGCGGCGCCGGGAGCGCGCCGTCGACTCGCCGGGCACGCCGCCGCCGCCGACCGACGCTGACATCCCCGACACGGATCCCACGTCACGGATCTCTCGACGGCCACTTTCATCCTCCCCTTCTGGAAGCACAGTCCAGCACGTCGTCGACTTTTAGTTGTAAAAGACCACACCGAGAGGCATCAGACCATCCACCGTGTTCCACAGAACGGTCCCCGTGGATCGAGATGCACAGGCTCGAACCTGCTTCAGCCCTTGCAGAAGGAGACTAAGCAAGCCCGCAACGCTCGACGGGCCAGCTCGACAGCCCCGAGCCCCTGCGGATCGTGAATAGGCAAGACCGCCACGCACGCGTGCTCGGCGGGCCGGCCTGACACCTCAGAGCCCCCTGCGGAGAGAGAGTAGACAAGCCCGCAACACACGCGTGCTCGACGGGCCAGCTCGACAGCCCCGAGCCCCTGCGAACCGTGAATAGGCAAGACCGCCTCGCACGCGTGATCGACGGGCGGGTCGAAGCCCCTGCAGGCCCCATACGCGTGATGAACTACGTACCTGGAGCCTCTCCCGCCTCGCCGGACGGCACAGGCGACGCCCCCGCCCTCCTCTCGCTGTCCGAGCTGCGGTCCACGCCGCTGCTGCTCGCCACCTCGGAGCCGGAGAAGGACGACTGTGTCTCTGCAAAGTCAGCAGCGTCGCACCCCCGCGTCATCATCACAGCCCTGTTCCCCTTACCTTGTCATTATACTCCTCCTCCTCGTCTCCCACACTCCTCGCGACGTACCGTACAGGCGCAGACGCATGAAGTTGGTGAGGATGTCCTTGTCCCTCCGCAGACGCTCGATCTGCTTGGCCTCCTCCAGCTGCAGCAGCTGGCGCCGCCGCTGCCGGTGCAGCTGCAGGTGCACGCGCCTCCGCATGCGTAGGGAGCGACGCGCCAGGTCCGCCAGCTTGGACTGGCCGATGTCTCTGATCTCCCGCGGGTCGCCGTCCTCCTCGTCCGAAGCGTCGCCGTCGTCGAGTTCCCCGTCATCCTACGGCAGGAGGGGGGGGGAGATGGGTCTCTTGCTGTGCGACACATACTACTGCCCGGGTGCTCGTGTGCACCGGCGCCGTCCCGCCGCGTGGCCCACCTTGCTGAAGCCCTCGTTGACCGTGATGACGGGGGTGCTGGTGCAGAGCATGGCGCCTCTGCTGCTCGCGGCGGGCTGGTCTGCCCTGGAGTGGCGGTGTGGCCCGCGGCGGTCTGCTCGAGCCTCGCCGAATATTGAGCGGCGTTCTCGCCGGCCGCCGCGGCCTCCATGTGGGAGGGCAGGTAGCTCCCCCAGCGGCGATCCGGCCGGAGTCTGTCCAGTCGTCCAGTCCCGTGGCACCCGTGAAGCCGTTCCTCATTGGGTACAGGGCGGGTCGCCCCATCCCTTCCCCAACTCTAAGCCCCCTCGACAGCGTGTGCTCAACAGTGTTTTCAGTCAAAAATCTGTCCACACCTTGGACCGGGAGGGGGGGGGGGGGCTGAAGCTACACCGCGGTACTGCGGTTGGAGGGCTCGACAGATCGATACACCCGCCTACGCCTAGCTGCAGGCAGTTTGAATGTGCGCTGTACACATCATGATGTGCCCCAGCCTCGCCACCACCTGGGCAATATCCGGGCTCCGTGCCGTGGTGGCGGGCGAAGGGGGCGGGGCTCCTTTTTCAACAACCGCTATCTCTCCGTGCCGAATATCACATGATTGCCTGACACCAGCAGACACCGTGAGCCCCCCTCCCCTTCCTCCCCCGCACGTTGTGGCGTGCTGGGCTGGCGTGCACCGTGCACCAAGAACGCCCAGACCGCACACCGCACCCAAGCGACTGGAACACGTGAAAATCAACTTCACATCCGCCGCCCCCGCCCGAGGAGCAGAGGTGAGGGCGCAGCGGGAACGCTGGCGGTGGCGTCTGCCAAACTCCACGTTCACATTTAAGGTTGCCAGTGGATGGTGATGGGTGTCAGGGCGGTGCCTGCCTAGGCCTCGGGAGCCTCGGGAGTGCCCCTCGCCGCCGCCACCACCACCCCGCGCCCCTCGACCTGCCGCCCCGCGGCAGGAACTAATCTCCGAGCAGAAAGGACCGCCATCCATCATAGGGACCCACCGACACCTCATTACCGAAACACTTGGGGTCGGGACTAGAGGGGGTGGCTACACCCCGAGCTACAGCCCGAGCTACAGCCCGAGCTACAGCCCCACCCTCAACACACCCATAAAGGTCTATAAACTGAAAGTAACCACGATGGCGCTATGGCCAATGCTCATGCTGTAAGCGATGGAGTAGGGTCACCTCCCCCATGGGGCCGATGCAATGCATGGCCACGATGGCCACTTCCCCAGCCCTCCCATAGGGCTTCTAGAGGGGAGGGGAAAGAGAATCACCTCTACACCCCCCATTTCCTTCCAGGGCGTAAGGGAGGGCCACTAGCGTAAGGTACCCCCATCCATGCTCATGCTCCCCGACCACTCTACTCTCTCCTCCCCCTCCTCCCTCTCCTCCCCCACCCCTCCACTCCCACTGCCTTATCGACGGCAGTAGGTTAGGTTTGCTGTCAGTGTAACATATGATTGTCAAATCGATGTAAACAAACTTAGCAGCACAGAGTATTTTTAAGTTTTATCGTCTTTCAAAGTGAGTGTTGGGGTTCCGGGTGCAGTGGGAAATCTCTAGTTTGTTTCTCCAGCGACCACAGCTGTCGCTTTGCCTTCTTTAGTCTGATTTCCGATTGAAACAAAATATTAACACAAGAGCAAACTTGTTTCAGTTTTTAATTGTCACGGAAATCGGACAAATTAACTCTTATTTTGTCTTTTGTGTTTTTCGTTTTATGAAATTGTTATAAGGTTTCTTTCGTTCATATGCAAACATTATTTGATTTTCCTGATGCACTCGAAAGAGGTTATGGTTGTTTTAACCTAGTTGTTTTGAATGCTTTCAGATGGAGTTCGCAGATTTGATTCAGACACCCAAGTTGGATGGAGTTAAAATGCGTGGGCCATTTCACAGTCCGGTCGATGGAACATTATGTATTACTGGCCATCATATTATTCTGTCATCCCGCAAAGAAGGAGTTGAAGAGCTCTGGGTTTGTTTTCATTTAAAAGGCAAATAAAACCTTAGCTTTTTAATATCTTATAAAATCTTTTAATATTTATGCTCCACACAATTCATCACAGCTGCTTCATCGTAATGTTGATGCCGTTGATCGCAAACCTGACAGTCAAGCTGGTGGTGGAACTCTCATCATCAAATGTAAGGATTTCCGTTGTATTGAACTGGAAATCAAGGAGCAAAGGGAATTTCTAAATGTTGCATCTTCAATTGAAAAATTGTCAAACATAGGTGGGTAATATCTATTCTTGTTGTTAACTCATTCATATATTTCTTGAGAGTCACAATTATGTTTGTTTTACAGTGGAACCAACTTTGCTGTATCCCTTCTTTTATCGCCCCATGTACACAATTCTAGAAGATGGGTGGACAACATTTCGTCCTGAAACAGAGTTTAACAAACTGGTGACTGCTTTATCAGAAGAATGGAGATTCTCCTATGTAAACAAAGACTATAATGTAAGAAAATGGGACAAGAACTTCTTTTAAATTTCCAAACATTGTACTTCCTCTTCTAAAATATTTTATTTGTTTTTCTAATCATC